TTTGCTTATCACTGTGTAATAACCAATGTCATGTCTAACTAGTCCTCTAAATGTTAATGCATGCCATGTACAACCGCTAGTGGTCTCGAATGCTGTTAGAGGTATGAGGGCGGTTATCAGTTCTGGGTTGCTCACACTGTAGAAGGGTTCTTCTAGAGGTACCTGAAAAGGAAATTGGATTAGAAGTGGTATTAATGATCTGATAGCGTGACCGTAGTGCCCAAGAGACAACTGCTTGAAGCCGGTCACACACGACCTTTTTGTGAGTAATTTTCGTGTTAGCTCCGTAGTTGTTGAAACCTTACCGCCGGAGGTTTATATCTATTGGATAAGATGAGGCGTGCATTTTTAGGCTCGACCTTTTCTAACCCCACCCATACTTCCGGATGTCTGAAGGAAACACCTTACTGCCATCATACCTCTGTACAGTCAACAGTACGACTTTGCCCTCAGACCTTGGAGTTTGTTACTTTTCATCTTACCGCTCTTCAATCGACCTGCCTGACTGGCATGATAAGATCTCGAGGTACGATTGTTCCAGCCAGTATAGCTCAGTTGCTTCATCACGATAGACAAGCTCGACCACCACATCAAGGTAGCAACAACGGTCGGGCAACTTGAACCAATCCACATATGTGCTCCAATATTCTCCAGTTTTTTTTCATAACTAACTAACTAACTTAAAATCAATTAAATAATAAAAACTATACATTTATGATACTACTCATTATTCTTTGATTTACAGATTTTTAATGGAAATTTTAATTCATCATAACAATCAAACTTTTATTTATTAACTAACATAATACAAACAATTGAATGACAGTTTTTGATTAAATTTATGAAAAGGTTAGATCAAACAATGAATTGTAGTTAATTAAATGTTTTAGTTTCTTAAAATAAAAAAAAGTTTGTTTTTCTGATGAGATCTATAATTTATGAAAGACCTTTGATCAACGCCACAGTGACCTTGAGGGTGTTCATCTAAGAACTAGGATCAAATGAAGTTTATAAACCTGTGTGATTAATTCGAATTAAGATTAACAGTTGATGATTAGGGTTAAGAATTCGATTTTAGGGTTTACATCACGAACTGATATTAGGTATAATGTCAAAAGTATATTAAGCCAAATGGATGAATGAATTTCATGCCAAAACACTAGACCTGTTCTCTTAAATCTGATTGGTTCATCCAGAAATTAGAATTTCGCCGGTTTTATTTGTTCATTATGATTCAAAGATATGACGAAAGTTACAAGACTGGAACAATAAAAGTTCTATTTTATACAGGGACTTCGTAAGACAGGAGATATCTTAAACTATGATGAATCAGCAGTTCGATAAGCTCAAGTAATGAACATTTTCACAACTGTTTCTCTTTGTGGAAAATGTTCAACATTCCATGAATATTATGAAAGAGTATAAAATAAATAAACTCGAAATGCTTCAGAGCAAATGTTAATGGCATTGGTTTCCACATTGATTGGAGAGAGCATACCTTCGTATTGTTGTATGTAATTCTTCTCTTCAAGCCTAATGTTTACTGTTTCTTTCTTGAAACAACTTTTGAACTCTATAGTCCAAGAAAAATTTCAAAATCGTTCTATTTTTAGTGAGTTATTTAAGCATAACGCTTAAATCACTTTATTTCTCCAAATAATCCATCAATGTTCATTGGGTCCTTTGAAAATCGAACACACAACGTATTGATCAACAAAACTTGAATATTTAAATTTTATACCTTTACAAAGTCACAAAAATAAAACAAACCAAACAATTAATATACCAATATTGGTAGTTGAGATCATGAGTTAATTGAAGTTAGACCACCATGAAAAACCTGGAAGCACTGGACGATCCTGGATTCGAATCTCGCAGGGCGAGATCATGGATACTCACTGCAGAGGAGTCCCAGTTCTTCCAGGTATTGCATGGTGATCTAGCTTCAATTGACTCATAATCTCAACTATAAAATTACCATAATATCCATGAAACACCTTCTAATAACAATGAATATATACTCAATAGTGACTGGCTTCAAGAGGTATTTCTTGGAATTCTAGTGAGAAGCAGTGACCAGTGGAGTTCAACAGTGTTTGTTGTGAGATAGTAACTCATTGAAGATAATTGTGAATGTGTCACTCAATTTTGCGAATTAGTTGATGTTAAACATTAACATCGTTAGATGCCGACTTATTGGTTTAGACTTTAAGCGTTCGATCGAGAAATCGATAAAGCCTGAGTTCAAATCCCTCGAGTCGTGATCATGAGTGAACATTGTTGAGTAATCCCATTCTAGGACCAAACGGCCAACTAATTCTTTCAGGTTTTCCATGATAATGACTCATGATTTCAACTATTAAAATTACTATAATCTCCACACAAAAACCTCTTCTGATAGTAATATACTATTTATAGTATCATTCAATATGAAATTATATATCATCTGTTTGAAAATCATTAAAAGACTTTAATTATACGAATCCTTTCTCTCTTTTTT